ATTATTTAATGAAGTAATTAACAGTTATAAGAGAAATAAATGTAATGCAATAATTTAATTGAAAACTATATTTAAAAAAATTTCAAAGATTTAGCAATTTACCCCGTCTCTTTATTTTTGAAAATGCTGCGAATACGGTTAAAGATACAAGAAAAATACAGAAAAGAAAGTTGTGGAGAATAAAATTTTCAAGAAAAAAGTCCGCGAGAGATATCTCTATCTTCAATGGTTTCGGTCCTAAAGAGTTTCAAAGAAACTCAAGTAAAGAAGGCGTGTCATTTTTACCGGTGGTCAAGAGACAAAAAATTCTTCTTCTTCTTGGATCTTCTTGGTATGGAAACGATGAACAAAAACACGATTAGCCCGTCACACCAAACTTTTATTTAAAACACAACGCGTTTCAACCACAAAGTGGTCATCCTCAGGTGAGAATAAAACTCGACAACAAATTGATTTAAACCTAAACGGTTGAAGGTAGAGATATGGTCTAGCATACTTTTTTGTAGGAAATTTAATTCTCTACAACTTTGTTCCCTACACTTTTTTTGTATCTTGAACCGTATTGGCAGTGTTCTCAAAAATCTCGAAAACAATATTAAAAATAAAATATAAACAATTATCATTATCAGTTTGCGTTCCGCCAATATTTTTGAGAAATACGGCAAATACGGCTAAAGATACAAAAAAATGTAAGAAACAAAATTATAGAAAATAAAATTTACTTTAAAAAAGTCGGGGAGACCATATTTCTATCTTCAACGGTTTAGGTTTAAATTACTTTAAAGTGATCCTCTGGCAATGAATTACCAATAAAAATGAAACGAATCCGTCGCTTGGGCTGGTTTGGACGTTTTTGAGGCCTAAAGTATTAAAGATAGACGTATGGTCTCGGAGACTTTTTACTAGAAAGTTTTACTCTCTACAACTTTTTTTCTTCAACATTTAAAAAAAATAAATATAATTTTTTCTTACATTTCTCATAGAAAATTTAGTGGTTTGTTTTTCACAGCTTATTAGGACTGTAAGGCTCAACACAATTAGTACACTGGTTGAATTTGAATTAATTTAAAACGATTTGAAACTGAGACGGTAAATTTTTACTTCACCGAACTACTTTTTTTGGGTCCAAAAAATCGAACAATTTTGTCTCCTAGTATGTAGTTCTCCGTAAAAATAAATAAAAAAACCTAAAAAAAAGTTGACACCACACCGGTTTTTTTAATAACTATTGAGTAGTCGTTGTATTTAGTAGATATTTTGTGGTCATAGTTACTTTTACAAACAAACATTAAGTTTGAAATTTACTTCAAAATTCTAAATTATGTTTCGGTCGATTTTATTCTTCGCAGTGTTCTTGTGCGTATATGGTGCAGATAAATATGACCCCAAAAAGGTGAACTATTGTAAAATGAAATGTATGAGTTTGGAAAAATCTACTGGTTGCGACTGCAAACAGCAAGGAACTCGACGCGAACAATTAAGAAACATGGTATCATTTCGGCAAGTATGTGTGGACGAACACAACAAATTACGAAATCTCCTCGCTTCTGGTAACGAAACTCGCGGCTTTGCCAAATCAGCTGCCAACATGATGGTCATGAACTATGATTTGGAGCTTGAATATTTGGCACGATGTTACGGAAGAAGTACTTTTAGAGGAATTCACGATAGATGTAGAAAGATGAGCACCAATAGAGAATCAGGACAGAATCTCGCTGGAATAGGTATTCCAGACCCCAGTTTGAACCGGGTAATAATAATGATCAGGGACAATTGGTAAAAGCTTGAAACTGTTTGATCAGTTCTAAATTTTTTATTTTGCAGGTATGAAGAAGTCAAATTAATGACGGATATGTATGCAAAATTTGATGCAACCAACGTGCATGACATTGGACACTTTACAACAATGAGTTGGTGGTGTGGCAATATTATTGGTTGTGCTCGAGTTTATGCTGATGCGAAAGCAGACAAATATATTAATCCGGTTTTTGCACAAGCTTTAATTTGCAACTACGCTTCGAAGGATGTTAATGGAAAAGAGTCATTTATTAACTTACCTGGCATGCCGATATATATAGCAGGGCCACCGTGTACAAAATGTTGGAAAAATCAAAAATGCAACACAAAGTACACCTCTTTGTGTGGAGAATTGGAACCGGTGCCAACCGACAAACCGTTTGATTTTGAATCTAAAGCACCAAAACACAATTCCATTCTAATAGTCATTTTCATTGCTTCATTGGTGCTTCGTCTCTTCTAAGAAACAAACTATTTGAATTTCCTGATGCTTTTGTAACGACAAATTCAATTATTTTGTATTAAAAAACAACCATATCTCGAAAGTTGGGTTTTGTAAAAAATATTGACGTAAAAACCTCTTTAAATTTTCAATGTGTGCATTAACAAAAAACTTGAATTTTCTAATGCTTTTGTAACGACAAATTTCTGTATTTTGTATTCAAAATTTCTGGAAAAATAAACCGTGTCTCGAATGTTTTATTTTGTTGAAAATATTGGTGACTATATCGCTGACTTTTTGTACTTTCAATGGGTGCATTAACAAAAAAGTTGATAAATTAATCGTTTTAAAACACAAACAACATAAAAAGTTTCTTTTCAGATGTTCTATAGCCTAGTCAAATTAGACAAATCGGTGGAAAAAAGAATTTTTTTAAACGTTTTTTTTTACACTTTACACATAATAATATAACAAATAAACACTAGTTTTTTAAAATCAGAATCGTAAAAGTAGAAAAAAATAAAAACGAAAAATTAATAACAAAACTAAAATAGAAAAATGTTATTTATCTTACAGGTTGAGTTTTTGAGCTACCTTAAACCATTGTTTTCGGTGATAGAAATCAAATATTGTTCACAAGTGAGATAAAGTACTCACAAGTGAGTAAATTTGACTATTATATTATATTTACTATTATATTTTTATAGGTGAATATTTTACTTGAATGAAATTTCATTTTTTGGATAGTTGCACATGTAAGATAAAACGTCACACGTGATCGAAATGCCATTATGAAACTCGTCAAAATTCTCACTCGCGTATAATGGTGCATTTCTATCCTTATAATATAATGTACTATTTATTTTCCGTTTAGAATAAGTCTATTCCAGCACCCAAATGACGTCAGTGCTGGAATGAGTCGTTGGCGTTACTTTAATTTTAGTGACGGACTTTCTTCACAATTCATTTTCAAATGTGAAAATAAGAATTATTTTTATTTTTTACAGCCACCTAAAATTATTCCACAGAAATGTCGCCAACCGTCGCAAAATTCTCTAGAAGAAAAAAATTAAAATTTTCGTTTTTTAATTTATAAAATGATATAAAGCGGCAAAATAGAAACAAATAGAATAAAGCACTTGTTGCAGAAGGATCACTGAAGAAGGGTCACTGGAATTATTTCCTTGTTCAGATAAAATTGTATTGTTACAACAGATGAAAAAATCGTATCCATGACAATGAAAGAGAAAAGTCACTTCATAGTTTTGACACTGTCATCATTTGATTTGCTTTTACTTTAGTTTTTATCAAAATTCGAAGATCTTCTGTTTAATCTCTTTCAGCGAATGGTTTCCAATAGGTTTGATTCGTTTTTCTTAATTTTTCTCCAAATTTATAAACATGTAAGGCAAAAGATTAAAATAATAAATTGCTTGTCGTGATTATGATTTACGGTGAAACACAAGGTAATGATACTAATGGCCATTGTTGCAGCCGAAGCAGCAGTTCTCAAACAAATAGTGTAAAATGAATAATGTCCTTTAACAATGTGAATTTTTGTTTTATATAGCATATTAGTTTTCTTCTACCATGAATATCATCTCATTTAAATTTCAACTTCAAGACCGTAAACACCCTGTATAATTAGTTATAATTATTATATAATTATATAAGTTATAATTTTTTGAATTGAAAAAAAATCGAAAAACCTAAAGACTTCTTAAGGACAATCTAAACACTCAATTGTTTGAAATGACATAGTCTTTGCATTTTTCGAGCGTTTCAACTCGTTCTTTAGTCAGGTCAGATTAAGTCAGCTCAATGTAAAAAAAAAACGAAAAACACCAAATTATTGAAATGTTTCTTTACTTAAGAATTTGTTCCTGCAAGAATTTGTCAAACCGAGTCGGAAAATCAACAAAATCGGTCTAAAATAACACTATTTTTACTATTTTCAAACGTTTCAGAATGTTTTTTAGATAATAATAATTTATTTTGCAAAATTACTTAAACAAATAAGCCAAAAATCACTAATTTAGGTCAAAAGTATGTTGTTTTTGAGCGTTTAAGCACATTTTCCAGTTGGAGACAGTTATTTCGTAAAATTTTGTCAAAAAAGTTAAAATACACTATACTAAAAGACGTAAATGCATCTTGCTTATAATTGTACAAAAATATTACCAAAATACAAATTAATTGTCGGTGAGAATTTTTTTGAGGTTTTGAACTTAAGTTGCTGAAAAAATCTGAAAAACTGGTAATCAAGCAACAAACGTTAAAAATATAGTTTCCTACACTAGAAAATGGTTCTAATCGTATGTGCATACGACTGTAATTCCAAACGAACGATATATTTAAATGTCCCCAAAGGTGGGGGTCGAGCTCATGGAGGGGTGCCCCCTCCTAGGGGGGGCTAAAGAGGTTTTTTTTTGTTTATATCTCACTTGTTTATATCTCACAAATTATCACTCTTATCGGTTTTTACCTTCCAGAACAGGCTAGAACAGATCTGCATTTTTTTCAAAAAAACCCTCAAACAGGTCGATTTTATTATTTATTCTTCGACACTGTCAACCTCTGTAAGGAAGTTTTGACAACTGTTTGGCATTTCTCAATACGAAACGTCAGATTATTTTTAAGAAATTTAAAACAAGTTTAAGCCTTGTTAAGTCTAATTCGAAGAATAAAATGTTGTATTCAACTTGCTTGAGTGTAAATCGGACGGTTTATTCCACCTCGTGGATAAAAATCCACTCGGTGAAATAATGCGTCCAATTTACACTCAAACTCGTAGAATAAATAACTATTGAGTCAAAAATCCATAAAAATGAAAAGTTGAAAAAATTGACCAAGGTTCTTTGGATTTCAATCAATCAAGGAATGAGTAATTGAATTTAATTTTTTTAATTTGAGGTAATGGCATGAATTTATTATGTTTATGGACGTAATAAACCCTAGATGTACCCACTGAACTAACAAAACATAGATTTCCAGTTTATTAGCAAAAAAATTGTGAAATCAGATAGTACAGTGATGGTCAGTGAATTTCGTCCACCCAATTTGTATGAATTCACAAAAATTTGCTGTAGTCGGTGCTTTATTGTCATGATAACTGACATTCAAATACGTATTGTCAAATTTAATCAAATTCGAACATACGAGCAGTAAGTGCTTTTAATAAAATTAAAATTATCTCTCTGGTACAAGAATGTATGTCTCAAAGAAGTGTCTCTATACTTTTGGACATACCGAGGACTACCACTTCAAAGGACAAAGGTAAAAAATAGCAAGAAGCATCGAGAATTCTGTCAACATGACAAACGTTAATCAAAATTCTGAAATAAGGTTTGGAAAACCTAAAGACTAATTACACTTTTAATCTGTCAGGGAAATTGGGTGGACGAAATTCGCTGTCCATCACTGTACGAGGTTTAGAAGGAGGCGAAATAAATATAAATAATAAAATAAATATAATTTTGACAAAATCCGATACTGTGAGTTATTATTTATATAAAATATTTGCAAATCAGTTAGTGTGAGGTTTAGAAGGGGACGAGCGGCAAAGCCGCGAGCCCCTCCTAACATTTTTGACAAAATCTGATAGTGTGAGTTTTACTCGGGGGCGATGCCTCCAGCCATTTTTCGCATTTTTTGAATCAGATAGTATGAGTTATATACGATGGGTGAGCGGCTGTCCCAACGACTAACATTTGCGAATCCGTTTAGCTATTCAAAATTTTATAAATCTTAACAAAACCTGATAGTGTGAGGTTTAGAAAGTCCGCGAGCCTTCTTTATAAATTTTGAGAAAATCTAACGGTGTGAGGTTTATATTTTGACAAAATCTGATAGTGTAAGGTTCAGAAGGAGGCGAGCGGCAAAGCCGCGAGCCCCCTTTACAAATTTTGACGAAATCTGATAGTGTGAGGTTTAGGAGGGGGCGACCGGCCTCCCCTATAAATTTTGACAAAACCTAATAGCCTCTGATAGTCTTCCTCACTCTCTTTTGCAACACGATGTTTTAAAAAAAAAATCGATTAACGTTTTTTTAATTGAAGCATTTCTTTAAGAAATTTTTAAATGTTTTTTTGCAAATCTAGAAATTTTTTTAATTCAGTGCATCTCTCCAACTGTCTTTGCAACACGATGTTTTGAAAAAGTCTCGACACAATGACTGAATATGTTGGCAATCCTGACCCTAATTTTTAAAGCTTTCCATTAGAGTACGCTTTTGATTAAAAACAATTCAACAATCTTGTGGGGTTTTACGTCAAGTATTTCTCAAGCAAAACCGTATTCGGTTGCAGTGTTTCAAATTATTAACAAAAATACTTTCAAATCTGTTGCGAATAGACTCAGTCTTTTTGGATCAGTTTGTATAAAGTAAAGACGAATTTGTTAATTGTAAAGTTTATAAAATCTATATCGCGAAAAATTTACCCAAAGTTAAGTGCAAATTGTGTTCAGTAACAATGAATAATGGTTATGTAAAAGTTGCCAAGAAGAAACTCTTGAGGATAAGAGTCCTAACACAATTGAAAATATTATAACAAATGCATTATATCCACTCTTGAACGAGATTCAATCATTACACAATGAAGTTAACATCTTGAAGGAGAGCAACATTCAGTTAATGCATTTATTAAATCCATCCGTTCCTCCGATATTCGTCAAGTAAAGCAGCTACATCATTTACTAATGAAACTAAATCCCAATTTAAATCGCAAAAATTCCACCACTATCCATCAGAAGATCGGGTCTGATACAGGGCAGTGGCACATACAGAGTGGTCCACTGTAAAAAAAAACTTGTAGAATTATTTTTTTAACAGAAATAGAGTCAAAGTATAAAATTTAAACTCTCATAACTTCGAAATTTTTACAGTTAGATTTTTTTAAACATTTTTCTTGTAGTCTAGGGCACCGTCCAATGATACAGTGTCACGGAGGTGTGCGACTTTCCGGACACCTGTACGCCAGAACTCACGCCCCAGAGAAAAATAAGGTAAGATACCAGGAACATTGAAAAAATGTTAAAAAAAATTATCTATAAAAATTTCGAAGCTATAAGGGTTTAAAGTTTGTACTTTGACTCTATTTATTTCTGTTAGAAAAATAATTTTCCAAGTTTTTTTTTATATAGGCTATTAAAAGAGGAAACAAGTAAGCTGTATCCTAAATTGTAACTCTGTTTAATGTTATTTGTGGCTTTTATTGGCAAAATTATTGTCCCTTTACTAAATAATTGTAAAAA